CTGTTACATACAGCACTGATGTTACCTGTCTGTCATGGGTTTGGAGGGAAAGTTCCATCCTATGGGGAGTGGAAGGCGTTTTCTGTGGTCCACACAGTCAAAGGCTTTTGCATAGTCAATGAAGCAAAAGTAGATGTTTTTCTGTTACCTCAAATGGGTTCTTGTTCTTTATATCCTGGGGAGAAGGACCATGAGAGGAGAAAGAGAACCTAGCCAGACTACTGACAAGAAGACCACGCACCAACAATTTTGGGTTAAGCACTATTCATTTAACATTTATTGATGAGATATAGGATATAAGACAAAAGGTACCAAGAGGCCTCTCTTTTATACTCACTCAAGATACTCACTCATCCAGAAGGCCCTTCTCTGAGTGTAATCAATCTTCAGAAAGGGTGATGGGGGTTGTTCCAGCGCTGTTCCAAAGCCCATCTGTTTCTTCCTGGGTCATCCTTCTTATAGGTCTTCTTCTTGTGGGCTGTTAATGGGCTAAAACTGGGCTGGCAGAAGCACACGGGGAGGCAGACCCTGGCTTCCTGGGCAGATACAATCTGTTGTCATGCAGGAATGCTTCCTGTCACGTGTACAGTTTGTTCCCTCTGCCACAGACTTGGCTTCAGCTAGGCTGCTTCCTCTTTCTTAAGCTTGCTTTCTCCTGTTTTACTTATATTTGGACTTCTTCCTCCAGTTCACTGCACTCTTGTCTGTGCACAACAACTGCAAAAATCCAAACCTTTGCCCACACAGCAACCTCTTATTAATAGCGTAACTGTCTCTGTCTGCAACTTGCATCTTCTTTTGAAGCTCTGTATTAGGTACCCTATCCCATCTTCCCTTGAGATTTCTTCATCTTCTTCTCAGGTCTGGGGTGCTGGTCTTACTGGAACCCCCCCCCACACACACACACTTTTACACTCTGTCACTCATAACATTTCTGGAACTCTCTGGCTTTCTCCATAATCCAACTCATGTTAGCAATTTGGTCTATAGTTCCTCAGCTCCTTTGAAATCCAGCTTGTACTTCTGGGAGTTCTCAGTCCACACACTACTGAAGCCTTCCTTGTAGGATTTTGAGCATAACCTTGCTAGCATGTGAAATGAGTGCAGTAGTACGGTAGTTGTAGCATTCTTTGTCACTGCCCTTCTTTGGGATTGGGTGTAGACTGATCTTTTCCAATCCTCTGGCCACTGTTGAGTTTTCCAAAGTTGCTAGCATATTGAGTGTAGCACCTTAACAGTGTCATTTTTAAAGATTTTAAATAGTTCAACTGGAATGCCATCACCTCCACTGGCCTTGTTGTTAGCCAAGCTTTCCAGCAACAACTTAATTTCACTCTCCAGGATTTCTGGCTCAAGATCAGCAACACTATCTGGGTTGTCCAGGACATCGAGATCTTTCTGGTATAATTCCTCTGTGTACCCTTGCCATCTCTTCTTGATGTCTTCTGCTTCTGTTAGGTCCCTACCTTTTTATCTTTTATCATGTACTGATGGCCATTAAACATACTTTTATGGAGAACTGGATAAAGCCAAAGGATGGGTTCAGTGTTTATTATTCATGGTGGATATATGGAACCTTGAAGTTTACAGGTAGCATACTATGGAATTCCAACCAGGAATCAACAGTAAGTGAAAGATACTGTACTGCTTTTACGTCCTTGTGGACTTCCCAGAGGCCTCTGGGTAGCTGCCTGTGGTGATCACATTGAGCAAGAAGAATCTTTGGTGGAAGTCATTAGGGTTATTCATATTAGTTCAATTTATCTCCTGTCTCTCCACTAGTGTGCTCAATATGTTATACAGTGCTTTTCTCCAAACCACTTTATCCTTATGGCAATGCTGCATTATAGATCAAACTGAGAACAAGAGACTTGCTCACGGTCACTGTATGAATTTCATAGTCCAGTGGAGGCTAGAACCTGAATCTTTCAACTCTCAGGCCTACACTGATGACTATATATTTTATAGGCCACATACATACATACATACATACATACATACATACATACATACATACATACATACATACATACATACATACATACATACATACATACATACATACATACACACACAACACACATACTACATATTTAGCAGAGTGGGCCTTGCTTATTAAATATATGCTTTTTAAAAAACAAAATGCACTATCCTCAAGACTTGGGCTTAGGCATGAACCTCATGCCACATGTTATGTTCTGTATATTGTGTGCCTTGGTACATAAGCAAGTTATTTGCTTTCCTACCTCATTGTAGGTGAATTATACACATACAGTGGTGCCTCGGCTTATGAATAGCAGAGTGGGCCTTGCTTATTAAATATATGCTTTTTAAAAAACAAAATGCACTATCCTCAAGACTTGGGCTTAGGCATGAACCTCATGCCACATGTTATGTTCTGTATATTGTGTGCCTTGGTACATAAGCAAGTTATTTGCTTTCCTACCTCATTGTAGGTGAATTATACACATACAGTGGTGCCTCGGCTTATGAACTTAATTGGTTCCGGAACTGCGGTCATAACTCAAAATGGTCGTAAGTTGAAGCACCATTTCCCATAGGAATGCATTGAAATGCAATTAATCTGTTCTGGCCAAAGGGGAAAAAATCCCAAAAAATAACCAAACAACCTAATAAAACCCACTGCAAGAGCCATCAGAAATGCGATTAATCCGTTCTGGCCGAAGGAAAAAAGAAAGAAAACAAAACAAACAAACCTTGCAAGACCCTTCGGAAATGCAAAAAAAGCAAAGCAAAAAGCAAACAAACTGTGCAAGACCCATCAGAAACACAATTAATCCATTCCAGCTGAAGGTGGGAAGAAAAGCAAACAAATCATGCAAGACCCAAAGCAGAAAGCAAACAAACCATGCAAGACCCATCAGAAATTTTTTAAAAAGCAAAGCAGAAAGCAAACAAACCGTGCAAGAGCCATCAGAAATGCAAAAAAAAGCAAAGCAGAAAGCAAAAACCCCCAAAAGACCCATCGGAAATGGAAAAAACACCCCACAAAAAGCAAACACACCCTGCAAGACCCTTCAGAAATGGGGGGAAAACCTCAAAAAGCAAACAAACCCCTCAAGACCCATTGGAAATGGGAAAAAACCACCCCAAAACAAAGACTGCAAGACCCATCCCAGCACAGAAACATAATGCCCCCAGCTTAAAACCAGCCCAAAAGACCCATCGGAAATGGAAAAAACACCCCACAAAAAGCAAACACACCCTGCAAGACCCTTCAGAAATGGGGGGAAAACCTCAAAAAGCAAACAAACCCCTCAAGACCCATTGGAAATGGGAAAAAACCACCCCAAAACAAAGACTGCAAGACCCATCCCAGCACAGAAACATAATGCCCCCAGCTTAAAACCAGTCTGCAAAACCCACCCAGAACAGTTTTTAAAAAGCAGAATGCAGCACCTTACCTTACCAGGCAGTCTGAAGCTTCCTCTAATCACGCACTCTCTAACCGCTGGGGTGAAAGAACTACAAAGAAGCAGCCTCTTCACCACCAACGGTTAGTACATTTGAATTCCCTGCCTTTTTAAAATTGTAACTTGATGCTCTGACCGCAAGTCAAAGCAAAATTTTGCAGCCGGAGTTGGTCATAATT